GCGGGCCCAGCGCGCGCTCCGCCAGGATGGCGAACATGACGCTCTCCAGCACCAGCGAGTCCACGCCCTGCGGGGGGACGGGGGCACCCCGAAAATGGGGCCACAGGTTGGGAGGCAGGAACGGGGCCCAAGAACGGGGATCCCCAAAAATGGGGCCACAAAAATGGGAGCCAGGAACGGGGCCGCAAATGGGGATCACCCAAAATGGGGTCACAGGTTGGGAGCCAGGAACGGGGCTACAAATGGGGATCCCCAAAAATGGGGCAACAAAACGGGAGCCAGGAATGGGGCCGCAAATGGGGATCCCCAAAAATGGGGTCACAGGTTGGGAGCCAGGAACGGGGCTACAAATGGGGATCGCCAAAAATGGGAGCACAAAAATGGGAGCCAGGAACGGGGCCGCAAATCAGGATCCCCAAAAATGGGACCCAAGAATGGGGCCACAAATCGGGATCCCCAAAAACAGAACCACCAAAACGGGACCACAAATGTGGAGCTACAAAATCATAACCACAAAAATGGGATCCCCAAAAATGGGACCACAAAAACAGGACCACAAATGGGGATCCCCAAAAAATGGGACCCAGGAACAGGGCCACAAACTGGGATCCCCAAAAACAGGACCACCAAAATAGGACCACAAATGGGGATCTACAAAAACAAGACCACAAAAACGGGTTCCCCAAAAATGGGACCATCAATTGGGACCACAAAAACGGGGCCACAAACCAGGATCCCCAAAAGCGGGACCACCAAAACGGGACCACAACTGGGGATCCCCAAAATTGGGACCACAAAAAATGGGACGCAAGAACGGGACCACAAATCGGGATCCCCAAAAACGGGACCACAGGTTGGGACCACAAAAATGGGGCCACAAATCGGGATTCCCAAAAACAGGACCATGAAAATGGGACCCAAAAATGGGGCCACAACTCAACACCCCCCAAAACCGAGACCCCAGCAGAGAGACCCCCAAACCAGCACCGCCAAGCCCAGTGGGTGGGAACCCGAAAATCCTAATTCCAGGGGGTCCCTGGGGGTCTCCACAGGGTTTGGGGTTCTGGGGAGTTCCCTATGGGTCCCCATGGGGTTTGGGGTCTCAGGGGGTCCCCATGGGGTTTGGGGTCTTGGGGGTCCCCACGGGGTTTGGGGTCTCGGGGGTCCCCACGGGGTTTGGGGTCTCGGGGGCCCCCATAGAGTTTGGGGTCTATGGGGTTCCCACAGGGTTTGGGGATCCCCATGGGATTTGGGGTCTCAGGGGTTCCTATGGGGTTTGTGGTCTTGGGGGTCC